TCTGTTAGAAGCAGACGCAACAGAGGCACATAAGATAACACAGAAAGCGCTAAGGAAGAAATATCAGAAGGCGTTGTTCTACATCCATCAATATGTGGATGCAAATGTGTTTAAGAAGGTTGCTGATTCTGAAACAACAAAGGCTGCATGGGACACACTGGTCAGATGTTACGGTGGTGACGCATCAGTGAAGAAGGTGAAGCTTCAGTCTCTCAGAAAGCAATATGAGAATCTCAACATGAAGGACAATGATAAGGTTTCTAAGTACATCTTTAGAGTGATTCTGATCACTAATGAGATGAAAGATTATGGAGAAACTCTTTCTGAACAAATAATCATCGAGAAGATCTTGAGATCTTTAACTTCTCAATTTGATTACATTGTGGTAGCAATTGAACATTCTAAAGATCTGAGCACCATGAGAGTTGAAGAGCTGCAAAATAGTCTAGAGGCGCATAAGTTAGTATGACTGCGAGAACTTCTGAGAGGGAAGTAGAGCAGCAGACTCTGAAAGTAACTTCTAGTAAGAAGTATCAGAAGTAGAATTGGTCAGAAGGCAGGAAGAAAACTAAGGGTGGTCAAAGGTCAGAAGCTTCAAACTCTGATAGGCAAAAGAATGTCTAGAAGGGAAAGGAGAAGTCTGACAAGAAGAATGTTCAGTGTTACTGTTGTAAGAACTTTGGTTACTATGCCAAAGATTGTTGGTCAAACAAAGAAAGGAAGTCAGAAGAAGTAAATATAGCCAGAGAAGAGTCATATGACAAACCTGTGCTATTGTTGGCTTCTGAACCTGATAATCTGAATGCATCAGAATGGTGGTATATGGTCACAAGGTGTTCAAACCATCTTACTGGAAACAAGAAATAGTTGGTTTATTTTTACTCTGGGAAGAGTACAAAGATCAAATGTGCTGATGATAAATACCTCAATGCAAAAGGTATGGAAAATGTCAGAATCATTTTAAACAGTGGGAAAGCAGCAGTGATCCAGAATGTATGGTATGTACCTAGCATGAAAAGCAATTTGATGAGTGTGAGATAACTGATTGAGAAAGGTTTTTCAGTTACCATGAAGGAAAATCTTCTGAAGCTGTATGACTGTAATCAGAAGCTGATTATGGAGTCAGAACAGGGAAGGAACATAACATTCAAGGTGAATGTTAGAACTGCAGACTCTGAATGTCTTAGCGCAACAAGTGTTGTCAAGGAGAGTGAGCTGTGGCACAAAAGATTTGGTCATCTGAATTTCAGAAGTTTAGGGCATCTAAAATCAAAGAATCTGGTACATGGAATTCCTACAATCAAGAAGCCTGAAAATTCATGCAAGGTGTGCATGGAAGGGAAGCAACCAAGATTACCATTTGCATTATAAGTAGCTCAAAGAGCAAAACATGCCTTGGGAGTAGTGTATTTCTGATGTGTGCGGTCCTTTTCCAGTAACATCAACTGGAGGGAATAAATATTTTGTGTCATTTGTTAATGAATTCACCAGAATGACATGGGTATCTCTCATAAAGTTCAAACACGAGGTGTTTGCTGAATTCAAGAAGTTTAGACTGAAATCTGAGAATTAGAGTGACTAGACTCTGAAGATTCTTAGAACTGATGGTGGTGGTGAGTATAACTCCACATAATTTAGAAGTTTCTGTGAGGATAATGGAATTGAGCACGAGGTTACTTCTCCATATACTCCTTAACACAATGGTCTTACTGAAAGAAGAAACTGTACTTTGCTTGATATGGTGAGAAGCATGCTGAAAGAGAAGAAGCTTCCTCATACTCTGTGGGGAGAAGCTGTTGCAACTGCATGTTATGTGCGTAACAGATGTCCAATGAAGAAATTTAAGGAAATAGTTCCTATTCAGAAGTGGACTGGAGATAAGCAAAGTGTTAGTCATCTGAAGGTGTTTGGTTATGTATGTTACAAACATGTCCCAGAAGCCAGAAGACAGAAGTTGGATGATAGAAGTAAAGTGATGTTGTTGGTGGGGTACCACAATATAGGTTCATACAAAATTTATTGTCCAGAAACTAACAAAGTTGAGTTCAGCAGAGACGTCATTGTAAAGGAATCAGAAGTTTGGAATTGGGAAAGGTCTCATCCTGTCTCTGATGAGAGAACTCTTGAAGAAAAGTCAGAAACACATGTTTTTGAAGCTAGTAAGGACTCTGGCTCTGAAGAAGATACAGAAGGAGAAGATGATTCTGACTCTGACTCCGATGGTGATCCAGAGTCTGAAGACAGTCAAGGTTCTAGAGAAAGTCCAATTTCTAAAGCAAGTGCTTCTGAAGGGGAAAGTTCTGGTGTCTAAAGTTCTGAAGGTTCAGTTCAGAGGCAACAAAGAGTCAAAAGCATCCCAAGAAGATTTTCAGAGTTTGACATGTTGCAAGACACTGAAGTAGACTCTGAAGGAGAAGTTATTCAATGTGCAATATTAGTAGACTCTGAACCCGTGAGTATATAAGAGGATCTTAAGCAACAAGTTTGGTTATAGGCCATGAGAGGATAACTTGATGCTATAGAGAGAAACAAGACTTGGAAGCTGACTGAACTTCCAAAAGGCAAGAAAGACATCAACGTCAGATGGGTTTTCAAGCAGAAGCTAAAGCCAGATGGATCAATTGTCAAACACAAAGCAAGATTAGTAGCAAGAGGCTTTCTACAGAAGTCTGGGCTGGATTACTTTGAAGTGTTTGCACCTGTAGCGAGACATGAAACAATCAGAATAGTGATGCAATAACTGCTAATAGGATTTGGCCTCTGATGCATTTAGATGTAAAATATGCATTTATGAATGGTCCATTACAAGAAGAGGTATACGTATCACAACCTCCTGGATTTGAGAAAAAGAATCAGGACAGAGTGGTGTTCAAATTACACAAATCCTTGTATAGATTGAAGCAAGCGCCCAGAGCTTGGAATTTGAAGATTGGTTCGTTTTTCAAGGAACAAGGGTTTCAGAAGTGTGAGATGGAGTATGGTGTTTATGTTCAGCATACTTCAGAAGGTAGTATGATTCTGGTATGTTTGTATGTTAATGACATATTACTCACATGAAGTTCTGAACAAGAGATAGCTAAGTTCAAGAAAGTTCTGATGAATGCGTTTGAGATGACAAATCTTGGGAAAATGAGTTTCTTTCTAGGGATGGAATTTATGTACTTTGAGAAAGGAATCATTTTGCATCAGATGAAGTATGAACTTGATCTTCTGAAGAGATTTGAGTTAGAGAATTGCAAAGTTTCTATCACACCTGCTGATACGAATCAGAGTTGGACTCTGATTCTGATGGAGAGGATGTGAATGCTACAACCTTCAAACAAATGGTTGGTTCTCTGAGATATTTGTGTAATACTAGACCTGATATTTGTTATGCAGTTGGAATGGCCAGCAGATTTATGAGTAAACCAAAGTGGTCTCATTACCAAGCTGCTGTCAGGATTCTGAGGTATGTAAAGGGAACTGTGGAGTATGGAGTGTTATTTTTGTCTGGAAAAAAGATCGAATCAGAACTTCTGAGTTACCCAGACTCTGATTGGTGCGGAGATATAATGGATAAAAGAAGTACTTCTGGGTACTTATTCAAATTTCGGGGAGGTCTTATTTCTTGGTGTTCCAAGAAGCAACCTATTGTTGTGCTGTCAACCTGTGAAGTTGAATATATTGCAGGGGCTCTGACTGCATGCCAAGCTGTGTGGACTCTGAACTTGCTGCAAGATCTGAAGATTGAAGTAGACAAACCTCTGAAGCTGATGATTGATAATAAGTCTGTAATCAATCTTTCCAAGAACTCAGTGCTGTATGGGAGAAGCAAGCATATTGAGACCAAATATCACTTTCTGAGGAATCAAGTTCATAGCGGAATATTAGAAGTTGTGCATTGTAGCACCTAGAAGCAGCTGGCAGATGCTCTAACAAAGACTATCAAGACTGATAAATTTCTTCGCTTGAGGGATATAATTGGTGTTGTCAGTTTTGGATAAAATATAAATTAAAGAATGATGTTAGATTTAATCTATATTTTAGGAATATATTTTGGATTTAATCTATATTTTAGGAATATATTTTGGATTTAATCTATATTTTAGGAATATCTTTTTAGAGGATATTATTATATCTTTTTATATATTTGTTAGAGGATATTTAAGATTTTATTTTGTGTATAAATAACCCAGTGAGGTAGCTCAATATAATTCATTGTAAATCATTATTCCTTATTTTTGTAGCCGTCATTTAATATATTCTTTCTGCCTTTCATCTTTTCTTTGTGCACCAACAACTTGAAGGAAGTTTTGATAGGGTTTGAAGAAGAAATGGTGGTATGATTATGAGTGAATCATTCATTCAAGATGTTGTTTTATTAAATTTCCTGCTTGATGAATTTGAAAATGCACTTGAAATTATTCACTGAGTTGTGAAATACATGCAATGTGGTGTTTTTTTACTTTATTTTTAGTTTTTTGTTTGACAAATCCAAAACCACACTTTTAAATTATTTACTGAATTGTGAAATAAATAAAATCATAATAGGAGTAAGGTCGATGATATATTTCTGGATTAATTTTAAAAAAAATGAAGTTGTGTCTGACTTAGAATGTATGTGTCCAAAAATATACTTCAAAAATTTTAAAAAGACATTTTCTTTTGAGAAAATGAGGCTCTAATTCGCTTAGAATGTATTTTGATATGCAATACATGCATCCAAAAATGTATTTCAAAAATAAAATTCAAATTTAAATTTTATTAGGGTGACTTTTCATGACTAAGGAAGAGTAAGAAGGGTGGGAAGAGCAAGAGCAATTTATTTTGTTTGACAGAAGCCCATTCAATATTAAAGAGTATAATTGTAATTCCCTTGTTTTCAACTTTTTAAAATTATAATTGTTTGCTAATAGCGCCACCATTTTCAATTTCACTATACACCGGGATCTCCACAGTGAAGACTCTTCACTTTCCTTTCTCCACTGTTGTTATTTCATCTTCCCGCGCTCCACCCAAAGATGGGGGCAGAGCCACACCATCCCCGAAGCTTAATCAACAAAATCTACGCTCCAATCGCAAACGAATTTCCCTTTGCAACTCCTCTTCCTTCCCTCCGAACAAACGAACTCGAACTCGTATTCTTCTCTCTCTATCCACCCCCAATTCCCCAATTTCCACTTTTATTTTCGCATTTCTAATCACACTTTACTACCAATTTGTCAACAGGTGCGGTGCGTTTTACGAATGCTGCAAGGGTTTTCCTCTTCCTTATTCTCATGGGATAACAGTGAAAACCGTTTCCGAATCAATAGTGGAGTCTACGTGACGCATTTGTCATTCAAGAGTCTACATTCACTCCTCAATCAGTTTATTCACGCCGCAACGTGTCTTCAACTCGTGGAGATTACTATCAGAAGAATTGAAACTGCTCTGCCGAGACCTACTCCCACTTTGAAAGCGTTTGTTACTTCTGCTTCAGCGTGGCTTAAGGTTCTTTTTGCAATTCCCTTTAAGATCTGGCTTTATCAAATCGATTCTATTACAACTTTTCTCTTGTATTCATTAAATTGACTTAAATTTTGCTGATGCAGCGGTTACGGAATGTTGCGTTGAAGGAGGAAGTATCTACAAGCAATGCAGATGGCTTATCCACTCCAACTTTGCTAGGGTTCAAAAATTCTTTATCAAGGTTTTTTTTTTCTTCTTTCTTTTTTCCTTTTAAATTCTATTCCAGTGTTGTCTATGGCGGATTGTCAAAAATTTCGGCGAACCATAAAAATATGGCAGACGGCGGAACGGAAAATTGCAGAAGCATGGCGAACAATCAAAAAACACTATTTATACTCACAAAAAATTAGTAATAGCACCAAAAATCAGAAGTCACAAAATTATATATGGAGGAAACTAGAATTCATATATAAGGTAAATAAAATAGATATGGCATGTTTTAAGTACCTCAAAACATTCCATTCATAAAAGACATTATAAAACAGAATTATAAAACATTATTGAATCTCTAATCTTTTTCTCTAACTTCAACATAATCTTCTTTAAAGTTATTTGGCAATGAACATTTGGTACAAGCTTGAGCATTGCACTTCTTTCCCATTAGATGGTCTTTGGATCTTGTTATTCCTCCATTAATCAATTTTGTGCAAAAAAACACAGCGAGTAGAGTTTGTATTTCCGTTAACTATATCTATATATTTTCATTTAGGATCACTTCTCTTTGAACCACCAACCCTAGAGATTAGGGAGGTTTCCTAATTTTTCAGGCATTGTCTAAAACTACACAAAGTAGAAAATAAAATAAAGAGGAAAGAACCAACAAAGTAGAACATAAAAGAGAGTAGTGTGGGAAGAAATAAAAAAGAAAAGAAATAAAAAATTAGAGAGGAAAAAAAAACTGAAGAAGAAGAGTACTTGATAGTTGTGTAAGAAGATAAGAGAAACAAATGGAGAAGAAAAGTCTGTGGAGAAGCGTGAGAAGAGAAGAGAGACTGAGGGAGAAGAAAAGTTTGTGGAGAATGGAAAGGTTGTAGGGTTTTGGTTTTATAAATATTTAATTAGAGTATTTAATGGTGGTTATAAGTATTTAACCACAGTTATAATTCTTTTGGGCCTGTTTACTGGTCGGGTAAAAAAATACTAGACAAGAACTTTAAATTTTTTGAAAAAAAACGCAATTTCCCTATGCACGTTAAACTCGTGGCGGCCGCCATGGCGCCGCAATGCAAAATCCGCAACACCATAGCTTTTCCAGGGCGCTATGTTGAAAATCCGCAACTGCAATCCGCCATGGCCGCAATTTGACAACACTATTCTATTCTAGCACAGTTAGGCTTTTATTTGTGTGTATTATAGTCAATGTTGCTTTGAGGATGTTGCGTTGAATGAATGGTAAGATTAGGCATGATAAGACTAAAAATGACAGTATTAGAGAGTGTTAGGGTAACACCTATAGTAGAAACGATGGTGGAAAATAGATTTTGGCGGTTTGGACATGTAGAGAGAAGACTTGTAAATTATGTGGTAAGGAGAGTAGATAAGATTGAGAAAAGTCAAACAATTAGAGGTAGAGAAAGACCTAGAAAAGCTATAATAGCAGTCATTAAGAAAGATCTCGAGATTAACAATTTGGATAGAAACATGATCCTGGATAAATCATTATGGCGGAAATTGATCTATGTAGCCGACTCCACTTAGTTGGATAAGGCTTGGTTGTTGGTTGTTGGTTGGTATTCTAGTGGGTTTCCATTTATTGTCTCACTGCAGTTTGATTTTTCGAAAAGCTAGCTTAGATTTGGATTAATTTTTCAAAGGTAAAAACTTTGGTGCATTTTCTTATGTTTTTTCTTTTGTGTTGTTCGTCACTTACAATGCACTTTTTGTGGTTATAACAAACTATGAGGAAATCATTGGTTGATATGGATATTTAAGTGAATACCAACTCGAAAAGCATCAAAATATATGAACCTAAGTTTTGTTTTTTTCCTTTAAATTATACTTGTCTTCAAAATTAGTTTATTTAAGCGATGCGAGTTTGTGACAGTATCTGATGATCGTTTGTTTTTAGTCTTTGCTCGGGTGCTGAGTTCCTATTGCTATTAGTTCATGAGGCCATCCCTGATGTATATTTTGAGTTTGGGGCATCTGTACCTGCAGCTGACTTGGCTGTTCACATTCTTGACTATCTTCATAAGAAGCTTGAGGAAATGTGTCTTGTACAAGGTGGTGAGGTCGTGAATCTTTTTCGTGCAGCACATTATGCATTTTTACACATTTTTCTTGGTTCATGATGTTGAGTTTTTAAAACTTTTTACTGATCACAGGAGGAAGCTTATCTCATGGGGCTTTACATGTATGTGGGAAGCTTGTTGCCATATATCGAGGGTCTTGATTCTTGGCTTTTTGACGGAATACTTGATGATCCTTATGATGAGGTAATCATTAATGAATCTCTCAATTGCTAGGGGATAAAGAAGTTATTTTTCAATGTTGAGCTAAAAAGTGTCATAGAAAGGTCCGTGTTATATTGTTTAACTAAGAAATACTTTCGATATTAGGTCAAAAAAAGAAAAGAAATACTTTCATTTTTTTTCATTTGGTGCAAATATTTTTTTGCTAAGAAGTGTCTTTCTGACCTTCTGCTGTATTCTTCTAGTGGTTATGTTGGATTTGTATAGCTTGAAACTCACTTAAGGGAATCATTTGCATGCATATTTTTTAATGTAATGGCCTAAAACAACTTTTAGGTCATATTGATACTGCAATTTCTTTTGTTTGTGGTTTTTGTGATCCATACTGGTTAAGAACATATTGGTTAAGTTAACTTTACACAAAAATGCATTTTAGCGAACAAACAACTTTCTGTAGCGTGTTCACTATAAAGCTTTTTAAACTTAAAATAAGCTAATCTAGATACACAATAAAATGTTGTATTTATCATGTCATCCATCTCTTCAGATGTTCTTTTTTGCTAATAAAGAAGTCTCTGTTGCTGAGGCTGAGTTCTGGGAGAAGAGTTATCTAATAAAAAAGCTACAACATGGTAAGTTAGATACCGAGTTGTCCTCTACAAATTATGCCGGTGATTCCATGTCAGCATCAAACGCGAAGAAAGAAGCGGGCATGAGGGGTTCCATCTCTTTGTCTAGTACAATTAAAGGAAAAGGGCAAAGCATTAGAGACTGTCCAGCTTGTCCTTTGTTTATTAAGGAATTAGCTAAGTCAATTGTTTCTGCGGGAAAGTCTTTGCAGCTGATGCGCCATGTCCCAAATTCCTTAGCAGTATGTAGCAAAGGAAGTAGTTGTAAGTTTGGAAGTACCAAATCATTAAACTATGGGTTGTCTCCTTCTCATAGAGTGGCTGGGCTAACACTGTCAGAAATTTTTTCTGTATCACTAGCTGGACTTATTGGCCATGGTGACCATGTTTGTAAATACTTTTGTCTAGATGTTTGGCACGAATCTGTTTCTGTTTCCTCCTTTTTATCTTATTTAAATTCAGATGCGAAAAAATCAGACAATGAAAACTTAACTGCTCCACCATACTCGGAGAAGATTTGGTATAAGTTTTTGATTGATACATTATTTAAAAAAGGATCAGCTGATTTGAAGCCAAAATATGAAGACATAAATAATGGCAATGGAGATTCAGCAGGGGATAAAGTTGTTAAAGACGATTTGTTTCTCTTGAGATCATGCTTACAAAATCCAGTAGTCACGGTTTGTCGAAAAACAATTGGAAACAATGGGGATGCCTTGAAAACATTGAATTTATCTCAAAAATTCTGCTTGCCTTCTTTAAACGATGAGGATTTAAGAAAGGCTATATTTGGTGGAGAAAGCACATCGTTTTCCGATAGTGAAGGAACAAATTATACTTTTGGTTTTCAGTATGATGAATCCAAATACACTCACTCACAAGATAAGAGAAAGCTGTTAGAAATGCTGTTTCCTTTTCCTACCATATTGCCTTCAGTTCAGGTATTTCTACTTAGTAGCATAAACAACTTTTAATGAAGTATGCAGTACATTAGTGTGATAAACAAATATTTAATTTGAAACAGGATGATCTTCCTGTGTCAGAGCTCTTGCCTTTTCAGAGAAACAGCAGTCTTCCTTCAAGAGTTCTTCAATGGGTGCAAAATGTGGACCTAAGAACAACTCCACTACCTCTGGTTATTATGCAGTACTGTCTAACTGCCTACATTCAGAAACAGGTGAATAAAGATAAACCATCTGACAATATCAGGATTAACACTATGATAATATTATATTTGCTTTATTTTAAATAGAACAGGTAGATTATATTGGAGTGAATATGTTGTTAAAGTTGATGAATGAATGGAGGTTGATGGACGAGCTTGCAGTGTTGCGAGCTATATACTTGTTAGGTTCAGGTATTTGCATATTATATTTTGTTTTGTGTTCTATATGGATGCGGTTGATACACTCTGAGGCACGGTCACACAAAACAACATAGAACAAACATGAGTCACATGAAATTTTCCCTATATATTGCTTGATGTGCTATCCCTCAATCATTATTTTGTTTTGATAGCATTCTGTAAATGCTGTGTGTCTTAAGGGAGATCACACTACTTATATTTATACTAATGTTACAATAAATATATTGAAGTTTAATGAATAAGCATTAACCTTGTTAATGAATAAGCACTACCTTAGGAAGTTGTTTAGTCTAGGAATACTATGGCTCTGTTTGGTAAGATACATTTTTGAGCTCATAGCTTATAGCTTATGACTTATAAGCTCATATGACAATTTATACATGTTTGATAACAATATTTTCATCACGAGCTTATAGCTTATTTTACTAACTTATAGCTTATTTTCCAGACGCTATTTCAAATAGCGTTTTAGCTTATAGCTTATTAGTTTTTCTTCCACTTTTATCTTTATTATTTTAACAAAAATCCACTTTTAACCTTTATAATTTATTTTAATTTAAAATGAAATAATTATGTATTAAATATCTTTTATGTCATTTTAAGTTTATAAGTTAGTTGAACCGTTAATTTTACCAAACACTCCGATTAGCTTATCGGCTATCAGTCTCAACCATCGACTATAAGCTATAAGCTATCAGTCATCAACCATCATCCATAAGCTATAAGCTATCAACTAGCTTATCAACCAACAACTATTTTTACCAAACAGACCCTATAATCACTAGAATATCTACAATCATAATTAATTCTAACACTCCTCTTCAAGCTGGAGCATACATGTTATATGCACCAAGAAAATCAGTCACGATTTCTCTTGAAAGAACTTTATCTCTTACAAAGTGGCAGTCGATCTCTATGTGCTTAGTTCTTTCATGAAAAACCGGATTTGAGGCGATATGAAGTGCAACTTGGTTGTCTCAAATTAGTTTCATTGCCTCGATGTCTCCTAATTTAAGTTGTTGGAGTAATTGTTTTAGCTACGTGAGTTCACATGTTGCTTCCATTGCACGATATTCTGCTTCTGCACTAGACTGTGCAACTATGTTCTGTTTCTTTTCTCTGTCATGAGATCAAATTTCCTCCAATGAGAATACAATATCCTGAAGTGGACCTTCTATCAGACGGTGATACTGCCCAATTAGCATCAGAATAACCCACGATTTGGGTGTTACCCTTATTTTCATAAAATAATCTTTTACCTGACGTACTCTTTATATACTTAAGAATGAGAACCACAACGTTCCAATGGTCATCACATGGAGCATTTAGAAATTGGCTAACTGCACTGACAACAAATGTAATGTCTGGTATGGTCATTGTGAGGTAATTAAGTTTGCCAACTAGACGTCGATATCTACCAGGATCTTTCAGTGGCTCACCCTGATCTGGTAGTAGCTTGACGTTAGGATCCATAAGAGTGTCATTAGGTCGGCAATCAAGCGAACCAGTTTCCTCAAGTATATCAAGAACATATTTTCGTTGAGTAATAACCACACCACTCTTGGATTGAGCAACTTCAATCCCCAAAAAATATTTTAGTGGCCTCAAATCTTTAGCTTAGAAGTGTAGAGACAAATCTTGTTTTAACCACTGAATGTCATCCTTATCATTATCGGTGATGATGATGTCATTGACATAGACCAATAGGTAGAGATAAGTGGTTGGTGAAGAATGCAAAGAGAAGACAGAGTAATCAGCTTCACATCTACTCATGCCATACTCTTGGAGCACAATGCTAAACTTGCCAAACCAATCACAATGCTAAACCTGCCAAACCAAGCACAGGGAGATTGTTTCAAGCCATAAAGAGATCGATGAAGCCGACAGATGAGGTGAGAAGCACCACTAAGATTGAATTCTAGTGGTTGCTCCATGTACACCTCCTTCTGTAATTCACCATGTAGGAAGGCATTTTTGATGTCTAGTTGATTGAATGGCCATTGATGAATAATAACTAAGGCAAGAAAAAGACGGACAAATGCAATCTTGGCAACTGAGAGAAGGTGTCTCTGTAGTCAAGGCCAAAACTCTGTGTGTATCCTTTCGCTACAAGGCGAGCTTTTAGACGATCAATCTTTCCATCTGGCCCAATTTTAAGAGTATAGACCCATCGACAACCCACTATAGTTTTTCCATCAGCTACGAGAACCAAATCCCAAGTATCATTGGAGTGTAACGCAGTTATTTCATCAGTCATTGTCTGTCGCCATCCAGGGTGAGACATAGCTTCACCTGTAGTTTTGGGAATAAACAAAATCCAAGGAAACCACAAAAGCATAATAGGATCTAGATAATCGATGATAATCCAAATGACAAATGTAAATAGGATTAGGATTTCAAGATGACTTGTTACCTTTACGTAGAGCAATGAGTAGTTTTTGTGTAGGATGCGAAGGTTGAGAATCCGTCAGGGTAGTGCAAGAGTCTTTAGGAACGTGTGGTGAACGTGACCTCCGTTGATAGGTGTGAAGGGCGGGTGTGGGTATAGAGACGGGTGCAGGGATAAAGATATTTGTCAGTGCAATAGGAAAAGTTAAGACCTCTAGAGAGAAGGATTGTGACTGACCATAATTATTGTGCTGTTCAGGTGTAAAAGAGAAGAAAGGACGGGTCACAAAGAAGCTAACATTAGTAGAGACAATGTATTGACGAATATCTGGGGAATAACATCAATAGCCTTTTTGTAGACGAGAGTAGCTGAGGAAAAGACACTTGAGGAATTTTGCAGCAAGTTTATCTTTGCTTGGAGTAAGGTCATGAACAAAACACGTGCATCCGAAAACACAGTGGTAGAGAATAAAGATGTTGGGAGAACAAAATAGAATGTGTTACCTGGTTGTTGAGTACTGACGAAGACATGCAATTGATTAAGTAGCAAGCTGTAAGGATCACATCTCCCCAACAACGAGGAGGTACATTATTGTGAAGGAGCATGGTACGAGCCACTTCAACTAAGTGTCGATACTTTCTCTCAGCAACACCATTTTATCGAGGAGTATGAGCACGGGGTCTGATGGAGGATTCCCTGTGAAGCCAAAAAAGATTGAAAAAAGATAGACAAATATTCACGAGCGTTATCACTTTGCAAAATTTTAATGTGGGTACCAAATTGTGTGTATTTTTGAGCAAAAAGTTTGAAAGATTGAGAATACTTCTTGTTGATAATTATATATGTATATGTACATAAAGAGAATATTCTCTAGAATATTCTTTAGTGTATTCTAGAATTAGGGGTGTTCAGTGGTTCGAGCAAATTCGAACTAAACCGAAATCCAAACTAAACCAATGTATTTGGATTGAGTATTTTTTCAGTTCGGGCAAAAACCGAACCAAACCAATAAAAACCAATGTTAATTGGTTCAGGCATCGATTTCTAATTTGCTACCCGTAAATCCGAACTAAACCAATAAAAATCAACATAATTAATTATATATTAAATTACTAATTTTAATTGAGTTACTACTTATTTATTTAAATAAAGAGAATAATTGTTATAGAAATTACCAAGTACCAACAGTAATGAAAGAAACCAAGAGTCCTAGCAATTACCAAGTACCAACAATAATGACTGTCTTTTGACATTTCGGATGAAAAATGAAACGACACGATACCATTCAAATTATCAGAACCAACCATATCAATCAATGATACCACACATGACAAATATTATTAAATATTAAGTGAAATACAACAGCTACATGACCATGCTTGTGGTCATAACTTGTTTAAAGATATGTGTGCATTTCTTTAATATTTAATTTTCATATTTTAGTGTGTAAATAAATAATTAAAAAAAATATTTTTGTATATTTATTTTTAATATACCCGGTCAATCCAATCCAAATCAATCAGTTGTTTTTCGGGTCGGTTGGTTTGGGCTTTATTACAAAAATATAGAAATCCAATCCAAATGAAACCATTTTTCTTTCATTGGTTCGGGTATCTGATTCTCTCAAAACCGAACAAACCGGCCCGCAAACACCTCTATGGACTAGAATAGGATATGATATCTATGTAATTAATACTAGGATTTTGTATTTTCTCCTATATAATGCATCTTCCACTTTGCTATTCAAACACACGGTTTATTCAAATGTTTCTTAGTCTATCGTATTTCAACATGGTATCTAGAGTCTACTGAGAGACAACCCTTTGCCGTGCTTTACTCGGTTGACCCACTGTCTTCCGGTGAGAAATTGTTGGCAAACCGTGTCATAGCTCCAGTTTGCCTTCTATACACTGCCTGACTCATTTTGGCATCAATTTTTGAAATTTTCCGGTCACCACCGCACTGCCGCCACTGTCCGCCACCGTTGCTTCTGTTTTTCGGTGACCTTTCGACAAATTAATCCTATTGACAGAAGCGCCTCCTCCAATCCCGATGATTTTTCCACTGCCTCAATCGCCACCGTGCAACTGTTCTAGATCCGGTCTCAGATTTTATTTTCCACTCACGGAAAATTGTGATCCAGTTCAAACATAATCTTGTTCACCCGGTTCGTGTGATATTTTCTCTCTTTAGATTCTCATGGCTATTCCTTGGAACTTTACGCCAAACTACAATGATTTTCTCAGGTGGTATCCGTATTATCTTAACTCAAATTCTACTGCTTCGGTTGTCCACACTGGTAATTCATCTGCTTGCCTCTCTCAATCATCTTCTCTTGGACCTTGGATCCTTGATTCTGGTGCGTCCGATCATGTTACCGGTAATAAAAATCTTTTCTCTTCCCTCTCTACTTTTGGTTTCTTACCTAAGATAACTTCTGCCAATGGTTCTTAAACCCAATCCAAAGGAATTGGTATTGTTCAAATTCTACCTTCTTTCTCTGTTACTTCTGTTCTCTATGTACCTAATTGTCCATTTAATTTACTTCCAGTCAGTCGATTAACTCGTTCTCTTGATTGTATTGTCACCTCCACTAATAGTA